AAAAGTATTTGAAAAGTATGAGTAGAATTTTGTATTTTCGACGACTTTTTGAAAAGTATTTATTTAAGCCGCAATGATAAAAAGTCAAAAGAAAATCAATGGATACTTTTATTCTTCGGACTCTGGTTCATATCATCGACTAAAGGAAATTGTTCCATTTCTTAATTGCAAAAAGTAGATAGGTTTGCAAAATACACCATCACATAAGTAATGACCCTACTCAAGTTTAATTCACTTTTAGCCAGTTTTAGTTTTAAAGATTTGAAACCTAACTTTTTTCTAATGATTTTTACATAAGTAGTTAGAATAAAATACTTTTAGAATTTATAAAGAGTGATAAATATGAAAATTTGGCTTGTTTTTGAAAACTTTCCTAAACTTGACTAAGTTCACATCTTTTCGTAGTTTCAAATTTTTCTCCACGAAAACTGTGTTCTGAAACTTAAAAATGATATTTTCGGATGCAACTCGATGAACTGTATTAAACCATGTCAAAAAGAACGAAGGTTTTGAGCTATGAACTGGTTTTCCAAAGATCTCTTAGAAAGCCTGCTTTGAACAATAAACCACTGTGAAGCGCTGTAGAAAAAACATGAAATGCAATAACTACCTGTAAAACTTTCAGTCCAGAAATCAACAGTAATTGTGTACGACTCTAATGATGTACATATGCCAGCTAATTGTGATTTTTGTTCATTGTACATTTGTTCTAAATTTCGACTCAATGTAGAAGGATGTGGTAACAATTTTTCAACGCTTGTTATACGTAATATATTAGGATGATGTGTTCCCGTTTGTATTAACGTTTTCGCTAAACTAACAAACCCAACTCCAGATACTTGTTCAAACGGACGCGAATCCAGGACACAATATTCAAGTGATGCTGTCGTGATTCGTTGCTTAATTGCTGGTGGTACTTTATTCTTTTGACTCTTATTCAAATCAGATAATAAATGTGGAGTTATTAATTGTTGTGATTTGGAGTTTGGTTCAATTTTGCATTTATGTTTTGACAAAGCATTTGTACCACTGGATGATGTGTGTTTTAAAATACATTTATTTTTTTCACATAGGATGAAATTTTGTAATACACTGTTCACACTAATTTGAGAAAAATTAGACCAATGTGAACTTGTAAAAAGTGTTGGTTTTGATAATGTAATTAAAGGATCGTTAGCATCAACCAATATTTTTATTTCTTGTTTTGTATAATTTTTCTTTATAGTTGCTGTTTCAGAAGCAGACATTCTATTGAATTTTCATTTACACAGAAGAAAGCGAATTCTTTTATCGTACACTATTTTATAA